AGTCACAGTTCGCGATGATTCTCTCGCAATCACGAACCTGAAAGACAGATCTGAACTTCACCTCAGTCTGCAGGATAAAAGCGACAAGATCCTTTGGGAAGAATTAAATAGGAAGCTCAAACTTTCCAAAATTAAGCACTTAACGGTAACACAGCTTACACAAGGGAGAAACACCAAACACGATCATCATCTAAGACTCCGTATAACATTCACTAACACTGTTGAACTAGAGGATGTTCTATTGGTCGATCACTTGCTGAACTCAGAAGGGGATATTAGTATACTGCCTGATATACCATATTTTAGGTGTAATCTCAGGAACATCCCTAAAGAATCTCACGAGTTCTTTCGCAGAAGAAACATTATTGTACAAGGTGTCCCATAAAACACGGACACTGGTATTCTAAAATAGAAGTTCATAAAGTAAACCTTGGAGCTTAAGAACGTATTAAATAAACAAATGGTATGTTTATCAAAGAAGGGAAGGAATTCTAGACCCCGACCAATAGAGATAATCTCCTTATCTTCCCAAATGACGGCTGTCACTCCCTAAGCATTTCGTGCCAGAAGACGCTTTACCAAATGGAACCCACATGCATCTAAACACGTTTGAACTGACTATTCCACATTATGGGCTGTCAAGAACGTAGAAAAATATAGAAGGTACAGGGACTATTATCCTGTATAGGTGGGATGCCTATCTATTCACATATGGCTTATTCAGACAGACAGAACGAGGAAGCTCACGAGTTTCAAATCAAAACCATAATCTGCTACATATGAACGCTGCGAGTATACCGAACAAAATGAACGAGTTCCGTAAACTAATTAACATAAGTAATACGCATCTAACAGGAATATCTGAGATATGATCATCCTCTTGAACTAAAGACCAGGAGGTGGCAATACCCGGTATGTCTTTGTTAAGCGAAGACCGAAAAACAGGGATGATGGGCGGAGCCACCCTGTACCTACGATCGTGCTTGGTAGCACACCAAGTGTGTATTCAATAGTTTATCAAATTTGATAAATCTGTATGGTGCTTAGCGAGATTGGCTAACACCTCGAGATGTCCAGTTGGAGTCATTAACAGGGAGTCTACTGCTGACACCGAGTACGACAATCGTATGCTGGGGGGATTATCACTCTCTATTCGCCTAGGGATACACATATCCTAGTTCTAGGAGACTTTAATCTTGCTAAAGTTAATTTGTTGAACGCATGTACATTGGACGCGACAACTCTACTGAAACTCGGTTCTTTAACTTCATTTAAGATTTTAGACTAATTGAAAATGTGAAGTCGGTAACACGGTGAAGAAACAGTAAGACACCGTCACGCTTAGACTGACAACTTCCAGATCCTGGCTCCCCTGAGAAATAGCGATCACACCGTCATAGCCCTGAATTTAATCAGCAAAACTGAGTTAAAACATCCTAATAGCAAAAGATGTTAGAATTTTAAACGGTTGGATGTATCAGCTTTAAGGGACAATCTACAGCAGGTGGACTGAGAATTCCACCCTCAACTTGATATGGACGCTCAGTGGGATTTTTTACTGCACTGCATGTGTTAAGAAAGTGTCACGCAAACAGTCCTCGAAAGTTACAAAATATGACCTTCAAGCACATAGGAATTTAGTGAACTAAAAACAATGACAAACAATCAGAGGGAAAAAGTCGTGAGGGAAATCAGATTAGAAAAGAATACGCGGGCGGTTAAAGCTCCTGAAAAGATTTTACCAATTCTAATAAAATTTAGTTGTTCTTGTGATCATCTTAGCACATTCTCTTTTTCGAAAAGCTTTCACTCTGTCTGAATTACGTATCCTCGTTCGCCGTCGCTTTCTTGTTAGTGGTAAAAACGTTTCGGTAGGTTCTTGTAATAGTGCTTCTGTTCCGCTTTGTATCAGAATTGGTATTTGTTCTGGAATTTTTCTACATCAGAGAGGGTGTTCAAAGCTTAACTAGTTATTTCTGATGGCTCTTCTACGTTTCTGGTTCCCATGGCACATCCATTTTTATCCTTCTACGGCCACTTCAAAGATGACTCTTTCTCTCGCAAAGTTCTTTTCTAGGTCTGAGGTCATGGATATACACTATTGAGATTGTCTTGCGTAAGACGTCATCCTGTTGACCTTCCTTCCTAGTTAGTTTCATTGCGTCATTTGCTGTCCACAGCTTCCATCCTATTAGTGCTCCCGCCGGTGACTTTTGCTGTGAAGCTCTATTGTTAGTACTCCTGTAAACGGGTAAGAATCGTTAGATGATTTCTTTTACAGCCCACATCTCTCTTAGCTTTTAAAAAGGCATTCTTAAAATTGTTCACAAAACGTCCAGCCTGTCAGCTAAATTGTAGATTAATAGTTTTTACAAAATGCTATACGGCAGACACCTCACATTTTTTACTGACTAAACACCCCTATTAGCAGTTTTTGGCTTGAAGTGTAGAATATCGGTACATTCGGAAAATACATGGTAGAGGTGAAAGATAAAACTGATATGATTTTGACATTCAGTACCGTCAGACAGATGCTGTATAGTGTTTAATAAGTAATCACCCGAATACTAACGAAGATTCTGTTGTTGCTGTGATTGCTACCACAGATTACGCAAAAGATAGTTTCATGAATACAACGAGAGTCCTATAACGGCTTTCAAAGTAGCAGATGCCACACAAAGAGAGTCAGCGCTTCAACGGACGATTTAGTGCACAGCTAGTGGAAATCAACAAGATGAGAGGAGGATGGAAATTAAATATAAATCAACCGTGGTCGAGAGTTAAATGTAAGAAATTTCATTTAATGGGTGAGAACTAGTACGAAAAACGCAAAGATTTAAAGGATTTGAAAGAATATTTGCCACTGCGATCGGTTTTTCGACAAGAAACTTATAAAACCGGCACTCAAAAATGCTTGCTTTAATAATAATAATAATAGATTCTGAAAATAATAATTACCGAATTCACTCCAGGTTACAGGAATGACCAGTAACAAGATACTAGATATTTTCGCGATGTAGTAAGTACGAAAAATTTGAGGATACCAGCCACCGCCTCATGACAATATAAATGAAAATGTTCATTACTAAATTTAATGAGTTTCAGGGAAATCTGTATAACTTTTTAAACTACATTCTAAACCATTACAGTAGACAGATCGATCTATTTAATCTGTACTTTATGAAAGAAATGCGACAGCGTAAAGATAAATTTCATTAAAAATAACAAGGGAATATTAAATAACGATAGCGAATTGCATCGACAAAGCGTAAAGTTAACAAAATGACACTGAAAACAACAAAACTATACAACTAAAATACACTAGAAATCGAAAAACGAAGATAAATACATACCCTAAAATGGACCGTTAAAAAATCAAACTAATATATAGTATGAACCGATTGATGTTGGACCACTATCGAAAACCTGGAAGCACTGGACGACCAAATCGTCCTATTTTGGGACTCCTTAACTGTGCGCATCCACGATCCCGCTCGCGAGATTTGAACCCAGGGCCTTCAGTCTACTGGACCACTGAGCCGGCATCCAATGGTGTTAATGTCTAACCTCAATCAATCCACGAAGTTGCGCGACCATTTTCCATTGTATTGAGGTAGACACCTGATTCTACCTGACACAGATTAACTCCTCTGGTCACGGCTTCTGAACAGAACTCCGAGAATTTTCTCACGAAGCTAGTCACTAGTGAGCACATGGTAATTATCAGTATAGGGGTTGTGGGGTTTAAGTAGGTTAAGCGTTCGCGCGCGAGACTGAAGGCCCTGGGTTCGAATCTCGCGAGCGGGACCGTGGATGCGCAGTGTTGAGGAGTCCTACAATAGGACGAAACAGCCGTCTAGTGCTTCCAGGTTTTCAATGGTGGCCTAACATCAATCGGTTCATGATCTCAATCAAAATTTAACGATCTACACAACCCCTAAACTGATAATAAATAGCAGTAACGTAAATTGAACGGGAAGAAACGAATCTCAAAGTAATCAAACCTTTCAGTGTTGTTATTAACTTGATTCTTATGAAATTCACCTAAGATACAACACAATTTCAATGTACTTTAAATATAACAGGTCATATTTTCGTTTATTAAGTCAGCGACTGACTACTAATGATTGGATGAATTACTTGCGCTAATAATACTGATCATAAAGACAATTAGAAATAAGAAAATTACAGGTTTGTTAAAATTTGAAAATGGAGAGATAATCGAAAATTTCAGGCTTTTTAATCAGACTATGTTGGAACTTTCAAGCTTAGAAAATTAGTAAAATATTTGAAAGGTACGTTTAGTTTCGATATATTCTGTGTAAACTACCTATCAATTTGATTAAGTGAGCAAGGTTGATGTTAAACACCGGTTACAAGGTAAAGGTGGAGTACCATTTGATGAGGTTCCAAGCCTTCATCGACTGAGGTAATTGAGACATATATTAGTTATACCAAACCACTGCCTACTTGGACAAGTGTTACTGACTGGTGTATGACTAAGTTGGAAGAAAGATAGAAGTGGCCAAACCGACATACAATATCAGTTCACGAAACCATGGACCGTTGGTTTGAACCATTTTAGTGGGTGCAGACTGCCTGGTTGGAATCCGTGTGATAACGGCGATCAGTGGTAGAAAATTTATGGGAACATCTCTCAGAATCCTTCACAACAGAGTAGATACACTTACTACTTAACTTCCTCCTGATTGTGTATTCCAGTATTCCTTCCTAAATACTTTTCTATTGTTTTTCCGAGTCATAGTCATTGCTACCATATTATTTCAGTCCGTTTTGTCATCCATCTTTTCAATTTTGTCTCTTCATATTAATTTAGTATAGCGAGTTAGGCCAAACTACAAGTTGATGATTTTTGTCTCATTCATAGACATATTATTTTCCACTCACTATCAATAATTATCAATTTAGAAAAATAAAAAAAGATTCAATTATTATCCATCTGACAGATAAAAAATAATAGGAAAGTATATACAACTTACAGTTCGATTCTGGCTTCCGAAGCCCATGTAACAAGTGAAAATTTTCGATTATTATTATCTTTGATACTTTGTTCTAATATTACCCATAATGGATTAACTGGTCGACTAGATGAATTCATTATCATAGATTGTTCAGTTGAATCACATGGTAAAACAACACCACCATCCAACAAAGATCCAACACCACGATAACCACCATTACTACTAATACTACTTATATGACTACTACCTAGTGAAGATAATGAATAAATAGCAGAATCATGTTCAACATTTTCCGATTGTAAAAAATTATTCATTAAATGACTTCTTTGTTGTGTTGAGGTATAACCATGGTCTGGTGTTAAAACTGATTTTAACAGAGATTCTGCATCTGCTAAATTTCGACGTTTCAATAATGCAGAAGCCTAAAAAACGTGGAAAAATATGTTTTAAACAAATAAACAAGTAATATATGTATATATAGTTTCAATAATGAAAACAATAGTGCACCTCATGAAATTAAAATGAAACTGTGTGTAACAACACAGTTCATTTAGTTATTTTATATGTACTATTTCAATAGAAAGAAATTTTTCGTCACAAATTACCAATGTGTTTGCTTATTTATTTGTACACATAAATATTGGTACAAGGGGGAACAAGATACATACGCACCACACAATAATAATGAGAATGGAAAGAGATAAAGAATATAAGGTGCGTGTGAAAAGAAAACAAAGAACAATGACGACCACAAATTAGTATATGGTAGTGAAATAATAGTAATAAGGGAAACAGAAAGGTACAATCAGAAAGAATTCTTTCAGTTAAAGAAGTTACGGTCACATTTTATGAAGAAAGTAAAAGAACGTTACAGTATGATCGCCACTGGCTTCTAATCTGAGACATATCTGATAATGTCTCTAGCCACTGTGTTGTACCATCTCTAGGACCCCAACCACAGAGTTATGAAGGACCAATAGAAACCAGTTCTGTACAGCTTTCTTCAATATCACGACACCATGTCATACCCTGACCATCTCCCCACTTTTTACAACCAGTCCCACTGTCGGCAAATAATACAGGACATGGAAGTCTCTGCGACGATATTCTCAAATTTGATGAGATGACAAATATCAATATGTACTATATGAAGTTTACAAACTCTATCGCATACGACAATTTCAAAGTTGTTTTTATGTACCAACTAGTTGAATGAGAACAACATCAAAAGTTTATAAGAGATCCTATTATTTTATTTTACTACAGTCAAGGATGATTTATACAATTGGGATATCATCACATTGTCAGGTTCTATGAATACAAAAATTAACGGTACTAAGAAGTATTATACAACATTTCTGAAAGCTTACTAAATATTAATATTTATCATTATGTTGATTTTCTTTTAAGGTAGAAAAATCTCTCTTCCAGTATTTTTTGTCTTTTTTATCACGTATCACTTGAACTATCGCTGTAATACTCCTCGTCCAGTCCCTAAACATTATTCTAGATATTGAATGATTTAGCTCAGAATCAATCGTAATGGTACAGATGTATTCACTTTTTGTTTCCGATTGGACCTCAAGTTCTGAAGCACTATTATACTATTCACTCCTTAAATTCATTATTTGTTCCCGAAGCATATTGTTTATCCCTGTTACTATTTCTAATATCCTGACATTGGCCTTGATAATTTCATTTCTGTTTATGTTGTAACAACTTGAACTCATAGATAAACGTACCAGAAGCTAAGTTACTCATAACTGACCAACGATAAAAATTGCTGCTCATGTTGATATAAAAATGTAAGACCTCAATATTCTCAATTGGAAGAATGATATTTTCGATGATGATACAATACACTAGTTGAAAGTACTATAAATATCCAACAATTGGGAAGTTGCATACAAATTTTATGTACAACATATGAAGTGTAAGAAGCTCTGAATTTATTATTGAAACAACTCAAATATGTATGACCCACGAGTAACAATCGTCAACTAGAAGATACAAACCAATAAATGAAGAAAAAATATTCACTTATTTATTAGGAGTGAAATCGATCTATCACAAGCTTACTAATAAAGATAATTAGCTCTTCAATTTTCGAAAAGAAGATACAGAAAATATTCGAGAACCTTTTGAAGTGTAAAATAAAAGCGAACATTCCACTTCTTCATGTCGACAGTTTCTTTATTTCAAACCTACATACACACATCAAATTTTCGTTTGTTTTCTTGATAAATTTTCAAAGAAAACTTCTTGGATCGAAAATCAAATAACAAACAACTTTTAGAAATTAACAGAACACAAAATCAACATACCAAATTGCTTTTGGCTTTTCGTATGATAGGTGATGAGGGCTTATGATGTTTGACATATATATCTAAGGCTCGTCGAAATGCAGATTCGACCTATTGAAACAGGTATAAACAAAACGGTAAACTATCAGTATAGGGTAGTGGATATCTTAATAAAAACAATAAACGCAAAAACTGATAATTAGAAATAACGAAAAAAGTCATGTTAGTAGGAAGTGAGCATATGGAGTAATTGAAGTTCCTTTATTCACTTATTTTTTTTCTATCCTGGTAACCAGGCGATATAACTATGTATTATGAAATACAAAGTATTCATGGTAAGTGCTATGGCCTTAGCTATGCAATTACCAATTTAGATACCCTAACCTATACGACCAAACTAATGACGCATACACCAGTACGAGCAGCCTAGACTTCCGATTGGTTTTTTTTTCCCACCTAGCTCCCTGCCTGGTAAGTGCAGAACGCCAATCTCAGCCTCCGTGATGCGAATCATATATTTAAAACATATTTAGTTTATATACAAGCAAAACAAGACCACATCATACCATAAAATAGAAAATAACATTTGTACAAGATCAAGCCCAAACGTAGCCGTGATTGTGACTGTTACTAATAAATTCGGAATATCTCAAGAATGGTAAAATAAAAGCTTATAATGCAAAGAATATGAATATACATATAATATAATTACTTAATAGTCATGCAATAAGAATTCATGTATAATCCATACGTAATTCCCAACCGTTACCATTCATTCGTTCTCGTCCGGACAGAACACTAAGATTTATCCGCAGTTTGAGAAGCTAAAGTTTTATGATAAACTACAATGAACTGTGATAAATTCTTGAGTAGTGAGAAATATTCATTAACTGACTTCAAATACATCTCTCCCTCACTCGAGTGCACATTCTATAAACAGATGTTGACAGTAATAAATGAAAGTTTTTACTCAATTCTTAGTATTCAATTCAAAAGCAGTTCAATCAACAATCATATTATAAATACTAGATCTAGAAATAACGAACACGACACTGTGAACAAATTTAAACAAAAAACACTTGTCATTAAGCAACTTAATAGCCAATATTTTCTACATTATTTAACTAAACATTAAGGACACATGTACTGTGGAATCTGACACAAGTGTTTCGTTCTAATTAACACTTACTAGCTAGTCAAGTATTCTTGTAATTCGGCATTGATGTTCAACATTGGGACTTGAACTCAGTAGCTTTTGCTTCAAATGCTCAATGAGTTATCTATTGAGTTACTGAGTTCAGTTAAACATTATTTCAATTCACATATAACAACATTTAATTCCAATTTAATTACTATTACTAAAATGCTTACACAATCTAAGCAAAATTACTTACAGCTTAAAAATGTGTTATACATAATACATAAATTTTTAGACATCAACAATGCATTTAATATTATTATTACTAGCTGTTGTCATTGTCGGTGTTACAGTACAGATATCTTCATTGAATTCAATTCATTCAAATCAAGGAAAAGGGCCCATTCAATTCGCTTTCTTAGACACGTAGACATTGATGACGTAAAGTATAGTTAGGGGTACAATGTAAAATCTTGAATAAATCGATTCAAATTAATATAAAATGTGAGATAAACAAATTAATTTCATAGAATCCATATAAAACAGAATGATGTACATAGTAATAATTATAATATTAAGTATATAGTAGTGTAACCATACATTTTTACGAGATATGATGCACCGAAGCAAAATAAGAAGAAAAATAGACTGACAGACTTAGGAATAACTAGTAACATATGAAGACATAAACCACATTAAATACACATAAAAATGGACATTTGTATAAATTGAACTTTATGTAAACAAATGAAAAGTTGAATATGTAGTTGATAGGAATAAAAGAATGAAATATGTACCGTACTGTACTGATTTACTTCATGATGAGAAAGGTGTTAATAACCGGAAAACTTGTTTCGATGACACTGTTGAAATTGGATAGCTAACTGTTATAACTGTGAAGTCATTGCTGTTATATACGTATCGACCCGACTGAGTTCACAGTTTACTTGGTTTTACTTGACAGTTGGGAACTGCTTCAATTCCTTAATCCTATAGTTTAAATACTAGGAAACAAGAACCATCACACTAACCAGGAATTAGAGTGAAGTCACAAAACCACATCATCATATCACACTATTTAGTATGTTATGGATAACTTGGAAATAATAGTTCGTATATCACTGTCATCAATTTTTCCATTTAGGCCTACTAATTGTCCCTGTAACTCAATGCAAAACTGTCATCTTAATGACACCATGTATATTTCTTGTTACAATTGAAATAATTAGTTTTCGTCACCTATTACCAATATTTTAGACAGTAATAAGATCTAACGATAAACATTTTATCCTATACAGTATAAAAGCGAAGATATTTTGTTGAATTTGCTTTGTTCCAACTGTCCACTTTGGCTGTTATTGATCAGCAGTGTTTTCGCTCTTTTCAAATATCCTGGATTCAATGTGTTCGAAAGATTACCAAACACAAAAACACACAGTTGAAGATTTTCGATGTATTCATACAATTGTGTTTGTATCTATTGTACAGTACATTTAGAAACCACTGGAACACTTTTATTTGTTTCTTAGAATTTATTTAAAACAAGTATTGGTTAATTAAATTTGAGTTATAAGGTATGTGCAAGTCACTTAATTTGGTCCATATAATAATGAACTTATATTCAATACAGACAAGAACATGTAAGATTATCCTTTTTTATTTAGAAAAATTATTCCCACATCAATTTATTCGGAAAGAAGTGTGGAAATTATTCATGGTATTCTACAACAACAAATATTTTAGGTGAAATGTTCGTGTCCTTCATGAAAAAGAAAATAATCCATTTATTTTTTAAATGATTGGCGAACATATAGTGCTATTTGGACTTGACATGAATGAGGTTAGTTACTATTCAGCGATCAATCAATAGTACATACATTTCAGTCATAAAGAAGGTTGATCATGGTCGGAATAGAACAGTGGTAACACCTCTGATTGTGAAGCTAGATGACACTAGATTGAATCAGACGCGGAACATTAGTTTCTTAAAAATTACACTCACACTTCGATGACAAGTGCCGAATAGCACGAAACCTAGGTTCAGAACATTCTATTAACTTCCTCTAACCACATTACATTTCCCTACTCGGCTATGCTTTGAATAAATGAGGAGATTGCAATAGAATTCATCAATTAAAAGTAGTGTGACAGAAAGACATGTTATGGGCATAAAACTAATCGCAAATGTTTGCGGATAACGACAAATATTAAATGATCACTGTTGAATAAAAAAACAATCCTATGTGTATGGGTTTTTAGAATATTGGACTTAAGAGAGAAATGCTATTGCAGTATCGTATAATAAAACCGAACATATATTGAATATAGCATACATTAGCAACATGGCACTGATGACAGATAATCTCTCAACAATACTACACTATGCATAAAAACTAGACTAATGATTGTATATGTTCCATTTTCTTGGGTTCCCTATAATGGTGCCAGGATGTATAGTTCTTAAATAACATGTAAAACATCATTGATTGTAATTATTAGTGTTGAAAAAGAGAACAGAATGTACTACTGATAAAAAGACACAGAACCAAAAGCCATTCGCCATGATAAGATAGACAGAAATAAGAAAGAAGCCACTTTTACCCATCAGCCAATACAAGTCAGATATCAGTGTAGGGGTTGTGGAGATTGTTAAGTTTTGATTGAGATCATGAACCGCTTGATGTTAGACCACCATTGAAAACATGGAAGCACTGGACGGCCGTTTCGTCCTATTGTGGGACTCCTCAGCAGTGCGCAAACACGATCCCACCTGCGGGATTCGATTTTATTGATTTTATTTTGGATTCTATCAAAACCAGTACAGTAACACCAAAAATATATTTTATTATTATTACATTATTTATAGAACCATGTATTTGACTATTTGTCCAAATGATTGGACATGGAAAAAAAACATCCAGAATCTAAAAAAGTAAAGACATTTAAAACACTTTTCTTTTCAGTTATATAAACTTATGAATATCAATTAAAGTAAGGAGATTGATGAGTAACAAGTTTTTATATTGTATATATATATTGAATGTCCAATCACTGTTTTCTTTTGCTAAATTCCAAAATGGAAATATGATAGACATGATTTGTTTACCTCGTACACCGTATATTTTCATCTAGTTTTTGGAATATTACTGATTCAATAAAGAATTCCAATATAAAATAAAATGTTGATGTTGGCAAAGAATGTCATTTCAGAAAAAGTTGTTCGAAAGTAAAAATAAAGCAGAATAAGAATAAATGTGACTTATAGGTATCAATACTAAGATTGGACTTGATGGCTTTTCAAATAAATTGAACATTGAGTAGAGAATTAACAATAAATATATTTTTTACTATAATTCAATGAGTAAAAAGATTTTATTTCTAATGTTTCGTGACTTAATGTAAGCCATACATTTTTAAACTTGTGTTAATTTAATTTCAGTCATTTATTTACTCTGAAGAAGCGGCTTAAAGTAGGTCACGAAACGTAAGAAATACAATTTTTCTACTCAATGGGGTATAACAAAAAATATATTTATTATTAAATGTTATGTTATTTTTCGAAGTTGAGAAAGAAATTAAAACACGTGTATGAAAACTAGCTAAAATCATAGAACGACGATTAGGACTAATGACTATTACTTAAAGGTGTTGTGTCCCGATCGAAGCTGCTACCTTGACGCGGTGGTCGGGCTTGCCTATCGTGATGACCCAACCGAGCTATATTGGCTGGAACATATGTTCCTGCAGGTTCTACCATGCCAGGCAGGTCGATTGGCGAACGGTAAGACTAAAAGCAGCAACTCAAGGTCTGAGGGCGAAGTCGTACTGCTGACTGTAGAGAGGTGTGACAGCAGTAAGGTGTTTCCCTCGGACAACCAGCATGACAGCGATGCTGCCTTCCCACAAGGAGGGGTGGGGTTAGAAAAGGTCGACCCTAAAAATGCACACCTCACCTTACCTCACGGATTTCCGT